GGAGGGAAGGAAGGAACCTGTGCCTGGCAAAAGTCCAGGCTGCCTCTCAGGATTTGTGGCACCTTCTGACTTTCAAACTGCGGTTGTTCAATCTCACAGGCTCCTGGTTGTGTACCCATGGACCCAGAGGTTCTTCGACAGCTTTGGCAGCCTGTCCTCTCCCTCTGCCATCATGGGCAACCCCAAAGTCAAGGCGCATGGCGTGAAGGTGCTGACTTCCTTGGGAGAAGCCATAAAGAACCTTGATGATCTCAAGGGCACCTTTGGCCAGCTAAGTGAGCTGCACTGTGACAAGCTGCATGTGGATCCTGAGAACTTCAGGGTGAGTCCAGGAGATGTGACAGCCCTGTTGCCTTTAGTCTCGAGGTAACTTAGACCAGTGAGAATTGGTCTGAGCACAGCTGAAGCTACCTGCAGGGTGTGAACTATTTGAAGATATTGGGGTTGGGAGTTAAGAGACTCCAGAGGACTACCTGGACTGAGACCCAGTGGTAATGCTTTAGGGCCTATGCAGTGTCTCTAACAATCGAGAGGGACAACTTTGGCTTTGAGAAAAGAGTTGTGGAAATGAGGACAATGACTTTTCTTTATTAGATTCTGGTAGAAAGAACTTTATCTTTCCCTCATTTTGATTATTTGTTTTAAAGCATCTTTCTGGAGGCAGGACAAGTATGGACATTAAGAAGATGCAGGCAGAAGGCATATATTGGCTCAGTCGACGTGGAGTACCTTGGTGGCCAAACGTATATTGCTAAGGCTATTCATATAATTAGCTGGACACATATAAAACACTACAAATGCTTCATTACAAACTCACATCCTGTAATTCCAAATGGGGCAAAAGGGTTTCTGGGGATGAGAAAGAATAGAAACGTTTGTCCTGGAGGAGATATTTTAGTCAGCTGTGAGTGTGTGTGTGTGTGTGTGTGTGTGTGTGTGTGTGTGAGCGTGTTTCTTTTAAAGTTTTCAGCCTACAAAATACAGGGTTTGTGGTGGCAAGAAGATAGCTAGATTTAAATTCTGCCAGTGACCAATGTGGCAAGGGGAACAGCTACCTGCATTCAATGGGTAGGCAAAATCCAGGCTTTGAGAGAAGTTAACATAAGCTTGATTCTGGGTGGAAGGTGGGTGTGTAGTTATCCAGAGGCCAGGCTGGAGCTCTCTGCTCACTGTGGGTTTATATTTGTTGTCTCCTTTCATCTCAACAGCTCCTGGGAAATGTGCTGGTGACTGTTTTGGCAGTCCTTCATGGCAAAGAATTCACTCCCCAGGTGCAGGCTTCCTGGCAGAAGTTGGTGGCTGGAGTGGCCAGTGCCCTGGGCTCCAGATACCACTGAGGCCCCTGCCCATGACTCAGAGCTTTGAAGGAGAGGCTTTAATTTGCAAGCAACAAAGATAATAAAACTATTCTGCTTAGAGATCACACATGATTGTCTTCAGTTATTTTCTTTCGTCTGTATTTTTGAATATACAAGCCACAAAGGGTTTATGTTGAGGGATGCGTGTATGTGTATGTGTACATGTGTGTGTGTTTGTGTAATGTGTATGATCCTCATTTATTTTTACATGAGATGAGGGTTTTGATGAGCAAATTAAAAAAACTAGGCAACATAGAAACTTGTACATGGGAGTTCTGCAAGTGGGAAGAAAATTTGTAGGAGAAATCTGATGGGAAGAAAGACCTCTATAGAACAGGACTCTTCAGAAACAGATGGTTTGGTAGAGATCAGGAAAAGTTCAATGCAGACCTGGGGGCTGGATTGCAGCATAGTGGCAAGGAAGGATCTTAATGAAAAAAAGTTTTCCCAGCTTTAGGAGATGAAGGTTTAGCTACGGATAGCAGTTTTATTTTATTAGGGCTATACTATTTCTAGTAGCATCTGGCTTTTTACAGCCCTTGTGAGGCTCTTTGGGGTGCTTCAGGTGTTAGAGATAAGAGCAGGAAACAGCTTTTTTTTTTTCTTTTCATTAACTACAGTGAAGTCATCCTTACTTCACTAAGGAACTTTTTGTTTTAAGGGTTGATGCATACCTATGGAAGTGAAACTAATCCCATGCCCTCAAGTGTGCACACTGGTCACAGCATTTCAAGGAAGAGAACTCATCGTAAGCTTCTGGAGGAGGTGGGGACTTAGGTGAAGGAAATGAGCCAGCAGAGGCTCACAAGTCAGCATCAGTGTGTCTGGTCTGAGCAACAGACCAGCACTGTTCAGTGAAAATGTAGTCTGAAAAGTCTGTATAACATTAATTGAGAAGACAGATTCACTGAAATACTTATATAATTGAAAGTTAATGCAATTGGTAAATATTCATGATGTGTGAAAAATCATGATACATACTGTACAGTCTCAGTCCCATAAAATTGGATGTTGTGCCTACAGACGCACAGGACCTAGAAGAATGTGTCAAACTATAAACTGCTTGTGATTGTGACTTTGTTCTTTGCTTCTCATGTTTTTCAGTTTCCTCTAATGTACTTTTTAAAAGTAAAAGTTATTTTAAAAACATGTATTAAGCCCTCATTGCTTGTAGAATAAAGTTAGTATACTCCACAGAAAAAAAGAAAAAAGAAAAAAGAAAGTTAATGCATGTTTATAAGCAAGCATTTAGTTTAATGTGTTGGCATTATGAACTTAATGCCTTTGTCTCCAGAAAAGCCACATACTAATGCCCCAACTCCTAATTGGCCCCCATTTATAGGGGAGGCTTTAGAAAAGTAATTAGGTTTAGATGCACTCATGAGAGCAGATCCCCATCATAGAATTATTTTCCTCATCAGAAGCAGAGACACTTTTCTTTCTGCCATTTCTCTTTCCTCCCTATGAGGACACAGAGAGAAGTCAGTCATCTGCAATCCATGGAGAGAACCCTGACCACGAATCAGCCTTCAGAAATGTGAGAAAAAATTCTGTCATTGGAGCCATCCAGTGCATGGTATTTTGTTACAGCACTATGCAGTAAGTAAGGCAGATGAAGAAGGAGAAAAAAAATAAGCTTGGGTGTTGAGTGGATTAGAAATCATGTTTATCTCAGGTTGTCAAATCTCCACTTGTTCCCTGTGTTTCTGTAGAAAGTACCTACTCTACTCCTCTCACCTACAAGACCCAAATAGTGAGCCTACACCCTTCTTTCTAACTTTGATTTCACTTATTTTTTTCTTCAATATACTTTAGTCTTGTAATGTCTTTATGTACAGTGAAATGTCAAGTTCTTCCTTTATTTTTCTTTCTTTCTTTTCCTCAGCCTCAGAATTTTGCACATGCCCTTCCTTCTTTCAGGAACTTCTTTCTCCAAACGTCTTCTGCCTGGCTCTTTCATGTCATAAAGGTCCCACTTCAAATGCAGTCATTCAATCCCATTTCACAAGTCACATTTTCCTTTTTTTTTTTTTTAAGTGAAAGCAAGTTTATACAAAAGTGAAAGAATAAATGAATAGCAACTTCCTAGGCAGAGCAGCCCCAAGGATTATTTTTAGACAGTATGCCAAGAAAGGGGGAGATTATTTATGCCGCCCATTTATAGACCATAAAAATGAACTTCCTGATGTTGACATGGCATTGTTTTTTCTTTTAATTTAATTTAATTTAATTTTAATTTCCAAGGTACATGTGCAGGAGGTACAGGCTTATTACACGGATAAATGCATATCTTTCTGGCCCTTTAGCCATCTCTATCAATGAGCAGATATAAGCTTTACACGGGATCATGAAAGCTGAAAGGATTTCACCAATATTATTATAATTTCAATCAACCTAATAGCTTAGATGATAAACTAATTTGAAGATACAGCTCGCATCCAATAAGCCAGATTTCAACAGCTTCTGGCATCATAATCTGGCAAGGTCTGAGATCATGGTTCACTTTCAGAGAAAAACAAAAACAAACTAACCAAAAACAAAATATAACAAAATAACAGCATAAATACTTCCTGACATGTTAAGAGCCCAGTATGTCAGAAACAGCACTGAGTCAGAGATAAAACTGTCTCAAGTAAAGTGATATTTGAATTGTCATAGTGTGTGGACTATTAGTCAATAAAAACAGCCCCTGTCTCTTTAGAGTTGTTTTGCATTCACATGTATTTCCTACATATTAGAATAAGATTCACTGGGAAGTGAACCTAGCTTTTACACATGATAATTAATTCAAATCACAGTACCTGCCAAAGAACATTCCACCATCACCATTACAAAACACCAAAGAGCTACACCAAAACCTTAGACATATCCAGCACATAGACTTATCCAGTGATAAATACACATCAATTGGTGTGTACATATACACCTGAACATGGAAACAAATATTTTTGCTGAGATGAGGCAGACATGCTTTACTTGAAACAGGTACAGATAAGTAGATATTGAGGTAAGGATTCAGTCTTACATTAAATGACATGAATCTATTCCTGGATTGAAACTGTTGCTTTATAGGAATTGTTTTCACTGTACTATTGAGAACTGAAGAGAGAATGGCCAAACCCACAGAGAAGATATTCAAAGATAAGCATAGCACTTCTTCTTTAAAAACCAATGCTTACAAAAAGAGACTAAAACTTGTCCCATCAAAAATCCTGGACCTATGCCTAAAATGTATTTCACAAACCCCAAACTTTTCAAAAATTGTCACATGCTCTAATTTAAATCTTTAGGCATCACTGGAACTAGAGACAAGAAGGTAAAAAAGGCTGACAGAGAAGTCCTGGTACATTCTATGGTGGGAGTAAGAAATTAGCTAAAGAAGAGAATAAATTATAGAAACATTAGAATGCTTGAATTGGAACAGGACAAAGGCTCTAAAAAAATTAAGTAGCAGGAACCTCTTGGGGGCCCCTTCCCGACATTATCTCAGTGCAAATATCTGCCTGAAACTGTCCCTGGCTAAACTCCACCCATGGGTTGGCCAGCCTTACCTTGACCAATAGCCTTGACAAGGCAGACTTGACCAATAGTCTTAGAGTATCGGGTGAGGCCCGTGGGCCAGCGGGTGCCTAGGGTTGAAAAATAAAAGGAAGCACCCTCTATCAGTTCCACATACTCGATTCTGAAACATCTGAGATTATCAATAAGCTCCTAGTCCAGACGCCATGAGTAATTTCACAGCTGAGGACAAGGCTGCTATCACTAGCCTGTGGGCCAAGGTGAATGTGGAAGATGCTGGGGGAGAAACCCTGGGAAGGTAGGCTCTGGTGACCAGGACAAGGGAGGGAAGGAAGGAACCTGTGCCTGGCAAAAGTCCAGGCTGCCTCTCAGGATTTGTGGCACCTTCTGACTTTCAAACTGCTGTTGTTCAATCTCACAGGCTCCTGGTTGTGTACCCATGGACCCAGAGGTTCTTCGACAGCTTTGGCAGCCTGTCCTCTCCCTCTGCCATCATGGGCAACCCCAAAGTCAAGGCGCATGGCGTGAAGGTGCTGACTTCCTTGGGAGAAGCCATAAAGAACCTTGATGATCTCAAGGGCACCTTTGGCCAGCTAAGTGAGCTGCACTGTGACAAGCTGCATGTGGATCCTGAGAATTTCAGGGTGAGTCCAGGAGATGTGACAGCCCTGTTGCCTTTAGTCTCGAGGTAACTTAGACCAATAAGAATTGGTCTGAGCACAGCTGAAGCTACCTGCAGGGTGTGAACTATTTGAAGATATTGGGGTTGGGAGTTAAGAGACTCCAGAGGACTACCTGGACTGAGACCCAGTGGTAATGCTTTAGGGCCTACGCAGTGTCTCTAACAATCGAGAGGGACAACTTTGGCTTTGAGAAAAGAGTTGTGGAAATGAGGACAATGACTTTTCTTTATTAGATTCTGGTAGAAAGAACTTTATCTTTCCCTCATTTTGATTATTTGTTTTAAAGCATCTTTCTGGAGGCAGGACAAGTATGGACATTAAGAAGATGCAGGCAGAAGGCATATATTGGCTCAGTCGACGTGGAGTACCTTGGTGGCCAAACGTATATTGCTAAGGCTATTCATATAATTAGCTGGACACATATAAAACACTACAAATGCTTCATTACAAACTCACATCCTGTAATTCCAAATGGGGCAAAAGGGTTTCTGGGGATGAGAAAGAATAGAAACGTTTGTCCTGGAGGAGATATTTTAGTCAGCTGTGAGTGTGTGTGTGTGTGTGTGTGTGTGTGTGTGTGTGTGTGAGCGTGTTTCTTTTAAAGTTTTCAGCCTACAAAATACAGGGTTTGTGGTGGCAAGAAGATAGCTAGATTTAAATTCTGCCAGTGACCAATGTGGCAAGGGGAACAGCTACCTGCATTCAATGGGTAGGCAAAATCCAGGCTTTGAGAGAAGTTAACATAAGCTTGATTCTGGGTGGAAGGTGGGTGTGTAGTTATCCAGAGGCCAGGCTGGAGCTCTCTGCTCACTGTGGGTTTATATTTGTTGTCTCCTTTCATCTCAACAGCTCCTGGGAAATGTGCTGGTGACTGTTTTGGCAGTCCTTCATGGCAAAGAATTCACTCCCCAGATGCAGGCTTCCTGGCAGAAGATGGTGGCTGGAGTGGCCAGTGCCCTGGGCTCCAGATACCACTGAGGCCCCTGCCCATGACTCAGAGCTTTGAAGGAGAGGCTTTATTCTGCAAGCAACAAAAATAATAAAACTATTCTGCTTAGAGATCACACATGATTGTCTTCAGTTATTTTTCCTTGTCCTTTGAAATATATGAGCCACAAAGGGTTTATAATGATTGATGTGTGTACATGTATTTCTGCATGCCTATGTGTGTTTGTGTTGTGTGCATGCTCCTTATTTATGTTTCCATGAGATGTGAGTTTTGATGAGCAAATTAAATAACTAAGCAATACAGAAACCTGTACAATGGAGTTCTGCAAGTGGGAGGAAAAGGTGTGGGAGAAATCTGGTGGGAAGAAAGACCTCTATAGAACAGGGCTCTTCAGAAACAGATGGTTTGGGAGATATGGGGAAATGTTCAGCGAAGACCTGGGTGCTGGATGCCAGCAGAGTAGTAAGGATGGTTCTTAATGAATGGAAAGCGTTCCAAGCTTTAGGAGGTCACTGTTTAGGCAGGGATAGCAGTTTTATTTTATAGGGGCAATATTGTTTCTAATGGCACCTGGCTTTACACAGTCCCTGTGCATGCCTAAGAAAGTGAAATTTATTCCATGCCCTCAGGTATGCAGACTGGTCACAGCATTTCAAGGAAGAGACCTCATTGTAAGCTTCAGGGTGGGGGGATTTAGGTGAACGAAATCAATCTGCAGAAGCTAACAAGTCAGCATCAGTGTGTCATGTCTGAGCAACAGACTAACACCGTGAGATCAAAATGTAGTGGGAAGAATTTGTACAACATTAATTGGAAGACATTCTCAATGGATTTTTTTTTGTAGTTGAATGTTAGTGCATGTTTATAAGTAAGAGCTCATTGTGGTGCCCCTTCTTTTTCTTCATATCATTGATCTCTGCTCTTAAAGATAATCTTCCTGGTTTTGCATCAAACTCTGTTTGCCACTACAAACTTCCCGCATGTTCCTAAGTAAAACAGATAACTGCCTCTCGACTATATAAAGTAGACCAAAATATTGTGTCTCTAATATCAGAAATTCAGCTTGAATATATTGCATTGAGCTCTTTGAAATTTAGAGTCTCCTTGAAGTACACATGGGGATGATTTCCTAAACTTTATTTCTTGTAAGGATTTATGTCAGGGGGAACACACAAACTAGCATCCTGAACCTGTAAGTAGGAGGACAATAAGCTTTGAGCTAAGAATATAAAATAAACTGCTATTCTCTCTCCCGGTGGAAGTGTGCCCTGTCTATTCTTGAAATGGCTTGTTTGAGATGCATGAGACGTGCAGCACGTGTGACACAGGCAGCAGCCTGTGGAATATTGTCAGTGAAGAATGTCTCTGTCTGATTAGATATAAAGACAAGTCAAACACAGCATTAGACTGTAGATCAAGCATGTGCCAGACACAAATGACTTGATGTCCAGCACTGGCCATGGATTCTTCTTCTAGCCTCTTGACTGAACAGAGCAGCGCCCTTCTCCCCCAACACTAAAATACCTATATGCTCTGGCATAGTTTTGTAGATACATAGAATTTGACACGAATTATTGTTCAGTGATTCAGAGGAAATCTCCTTTGCTCAGATGAGTACACTGACTACTAAATAGATTAAAAAACACTGAAATAAAACCCAGTTTTCCCCTTACTTCCCTAGTTTGTTTCTTATTCTGCTTTCTTCCAAATGGATGCTGGATAGAGGTGTTTATTCCCATTCTAAAAAGGAATGAACTTGTGTACTCAATGTAGTCTTAAGAGAATTGAAAACCAATAAAGGGTGTGGCTTCTTCCACATAAAGCCTGGATGAATAACACGCTGTCATATTGTCACAACTCCTGACCCAGGAATTGATGGCTAACATATTCATGATTCTTATCCTTTTCAGTTCTAACTTATTTCTATTTGTCAGCATTCAGGTTATTAGGGGTCAGTGGTGATGAAGACCTTGAGATATAAACTGCATGTGGTGAAGGTAGTTGGAGAAAAATGGACAGGAAAGAAGAGAAGTTTCAAATTAAGCCTGAACAGCAAAGTCCCCTTGAGAGGCAACCCAGATGCTATCAGAAACTCAAAAGTCCATCTTGCAAAACTTCTCTTGCCTAAACCCCACTCTTGGAGTCACAACCCACCTTTGACCAACAGATTCATTTCAACGCGAGAGGCAAAGGGCTGGGGACCAAAGAGGAGAAGTAAAAAGCCACGCATGAAGCAGCAGTGCAGACATGCTTCCGGCTCATCTGCGATCACCAGGAAACTCCCAGACCTGACACCGTGGTGCATTTCACTGCTGACGAAAGGGCTGCTGTCACTAGCCTATGGAGCAAGGTTGATGTGAGAAGGCTGGAGGTGAGATTCTGGGCAGGTAGCTGCTAGAAGCCAGAGCAAGGTTCAGAAAGGCAGAAAGTGTTCCTGAAAAAGGGATTAGCCAGTTGTCTTACATATTCTGACTTTGCATCTGCTCTTTGATTATGACTATCCCACAGTCTCCTGATTGTCTACCCACGGATCCAGAGGTACTTTGAAAGTTTTGGCAATCTGGGCTCTGACTGTGTAATAACGGCAACCCCAGAGTCAAGGCACATGCAAGAAGGTGCTGATCTCCTTCAGAAACGCTGTTACACTCATGGATGACCTCAAAGGCACCTTTGCTATGCTGAGTGCCCTGCACTGTGACAAGCTACACACGGACCCTGAGAACTTCCTGGTGAGTTCTAAGCACACTCATGCTTTCTTCTTTCCCCTTAAATATTTGCACAATGACTACTTTTGAAAGCAGAGGTGGCTTTCTCTTGTGCTATGAGTCAGCTGTGAGATATGATATTTCAGTGATGGGATCGAATTTGAGAGTTATGTTGGTCTAAATAACATACCTAAAATATGGTAGAGCAAGGACTACAAATAGTGGAAGGCCACTTACCATTTGATAGCTCTGAAAAGCACATCTTATAAAAAATTCTGGCCAGAATTGAAATGAGTGTTTGTGGATGAGGGAACAAAAGTTGAGGTAGAGAAAATAACATATTGCCTTTGGTCATTGAAATTTTCTGCAAAAATTAATAGATACTTTTCTGCATAGTCCTGTAGAATAGAAAAAGATAAACGAGAAAAGAGTAATGGGAAGCTTTTAAAAAGATTGTTTTCCTCTAAATGATGATAATACGCTTTTGTACACATGGTACAGGATTTTTTGTTATGAGTGTTTGTGAAAATTGCATGTGTGTGACAGCTGGGGACTTATCCTATCCCTTACTGTTCCTTGAAGTACTATTATCCTACTTTTTAAAAGGATAGAGTCTTTAAAAAAGTGAAACAATTAATCACAATGTGCTGTGGTAATGAGTTGGCATAGCAAGTTAGAGAAGGATAGGACACAATGGAAGGTGCAGGGCTGGCAATCATATTGAAGCTGATGTCTAGCCCGTAATGGTGTACTTGACTTTGTGAGAATAAGACTCTGAGAGTTGCACAAACTCTTGTCAAAAAGAATATAAGTGTTCTTTTCTTTATTGCAAGTCCAGCTTGAGGCCTATTATTCACTATGTACCATTTCCTTTTTATCTTCACTCCCTCCCCAGCTCTTAGGCAACGTGATATTGATGGTTTTGGCAACCCACTTCAGCGAGTTTACCCTACAGATACAGGCTTCCGGGCAAAGATCAACAAGTGCTGTGGCCCACAATTATCACTGAGCTCCCCGTCCACTGTGTTTGTACCTACTGGTCCACTATGTTTGTATCCATGTCCTAAAAGCTCATCTCCTTTAGATGGAGGATACTGGGGAGAAGAGCAATATCTTGCCTGCAGATTCAGCTCCTGCATGATAAAAATAAAGAAATACGCTCTCTAAGAAATATCATTATATATTTTTTCTGTCTTTATGTTTTATGTTGATTCAGCCAAAAGAATGAACCATTTTTGATGGAAATGGGAACATTGGAGAATGAGAGTTTAAGAATAAAGAGGAGACTTTCTTGCAATCCTGAAAGATAAGAGAAAACTTGTGGGTGGATTTAGTGGGGTAGCTACTCCTGCAAAGGGGAGGTCATCTCTAGAATAAGACAATGTCTTTAAAGAAAGGGCGGGCAATGCAGGTACTCTTGAAAGATGTAAGAGGATTGTTGATAGTGTGTAAAGATATGTTAGGACTCAAATTAAAAATTCTGTATAAGTTATTATTTGTATGAACTCAGGATATAGCTCATTTGGTGACTGTAGTTCACTTCTACTTATTTTAAACAACATATTTTTATCATTTATAATGCAGTGAGATGGGGCTTCCTAGAGATCAATTAAGGGCTAAACCTTGAATTTTTTCTTAGTGTCTTCAATGGTTTAATAGAGAATTATCTCTAAGCCATGTGAACTAGCTGTCTTGGTTTTCATCAGTACTTCATCTGCTACTTCTGCAACCTGAAACAGATTTATAATTCCATTAAGCTGTAAATATATTAGATATATCGTATTTATTTTCCTTAAAGGATTTTTGAAAGAACTAATTTAATTGATACCTGTAAAGTCATTATTACACTATCCAGTAAATAATCAATCTCTTTGTTCAGCTCTTCTGTTTTTATAAATACACATAAGTTTTATTGTTTTTAGTGGTAGTGATTTTATTCTATTTATCTTTATACATGTGTGCATTGATAAACATATACAATTTTTATAATTTAAAAAAATTTATTGGCAATCAGTATTGAAAACAACTGATTTTTAGTGAAGACAAAAGGCTGTTTATGTGAGTAAAAGCAGATTAAAAGGCTGAGATTTAGGAATCAACATGTTAGGTTAAACTGATAGAAGAGAATACGGATATTTAAAGGAGGCAGGGTGATATAAAATTAGGGAAATTGGATGCGGAGACCAGATGAAGCAAGAAAAATAGCTATTGTTTGGAGCAAAAGATCACTAAAGTTTCTGGCATGTAAGAGTGACATAATAAATAGAGAAATTTAAGAAAATTGATTCACATGGATATATTATAGAACTGATTAGACAAAGCCTAACTTGGATATAGTGAGAGGAGCTTGCTGTGATTATACTGAGGTGTTGGATAAAGAACTGAAGTTGATTGAAACAATGAAATTAAAT